TCTCCCTCAAGAGAGAAAATTCACATGTGAATCAATTTAAAGGGGGAGGGACACCATAGTGATGACAGCTGGGATCATAACAGCCCCATACAGTAGGATGAACGCACCTTCCCCTGGACTGGCTGATGCCGTGTCTCCCCACCTTGGCAGCCGGCACATTGGGAGCCTGCAGCTGAGCTGAGGAGGATGAAGCAGGAAGGGAATACCAGGCATCAAAGATTGCCCTGGGCTTCCCATCTGGGGAGATACGTTAAGCTTAAGTCAGCACTGAATGTCATATCTTTATTTATCTTACCATAGAAGCAGCCCTGAAATGCTGATCCTGAGTGCTTGTAAAGTGCTGAGCCTGTGCTTTAAAGGGGCTGGAAAGGGAGAAAATTACTGCACCCTCCGTGTTTTGAGACTTGCTGTCCTTCTGCACAGAGTTGCCAGGCTGCCTTGATCCATAGGAGGTATTGAGATTCAGTGAAGGCCATAAAGGAAAACGTTACTCTTGTGTCCCCTGGTTCCCATCTCTGCTCTCTGATTCTATCAACAGATGCTTGCCACACACCTCTGTTTTGTCTGCAGAGAAGACACCAGCCAGCAAGTAAATGCGGAGGCAATGGTCACTAAGGCTTGAAAACACCCACAATAGTTGCCTCCCAGTGCCACCTTCCACCTGCCCTCGCTGCTTGCCCAGCCCCAAACCACTGGGCTTTTGGCTGGCTTTGCCCAATTATGCATCCACAGCAGACCCCCCGGGACAAGGCTGCTGGGCAGAAATCCAGCCCAAGTGCTTCTACAAAAGCTTTCCTGAGTATCAAAACACTGAAATCCACAGTTCTCATCTCAGGCCTCAGTGAAGGTGATTACAGTTCATCAGGGCTGCAGCCAGGTCTATGTCTCTTTATGCAAGTAGCTCGTACCCCTCCACCTGTGATGCTTCCCAGTGCTCAGTCCCCACATCCAGCCCGGCACTGACTGCACACAGCTCTGCAAACCCCACCAGGAGCTGAGGAAGGTGAGTGACACCAAGCCAAGCTCCCCACACCCTCGTGCAGCCTGCCCCAAGCTATGAGATTCTTGGCCAAGGGAGACCACGGACTGCTTGGACCTGGACATCCCCTTTCAGGCAGCCTTACCCAACCCTTGCCTTCACCCACATTAACCTTGAGCCTTCCAGTTCTTTCCCTAGTCTCTGGCAATAGCCAGGCTAACCTCCAAGCCAGCTCTGCCACCGGGGGAGCATGAAGAGGAGGTTGCCAAGAAGTGTGACTGCAGGCTGGGAGAGCTCAGCCTTTGCCCAGCAGAGGCCAGCAAAAACGCAGTATTTCGGCAGACTGTGCTCGCAGGGAAGAGGTGTCTCTCTACCTGGCCTTCCCTGGCCCAAAAAGAGTCTCTCAGCCTCCTGTGAGCGCTCATCTCTTTGCTGCTTCGAGAGAGCTTTTCAGTGAGGGACTATGTACTGCAACAGAAAGGCACTGACATCCTACTTGGGTAGGGACAAGCTGCCACAGGCCCAGCCTTCACCCAATGTCTCCACTTGTGTGCCCTGAAGCATCCCCTTCCCTTGGAGCAGCAAGCAGCAAAGTGCTCCTGGAGGCTGGGCACGGCCAGATGATACTCACACAACACTTGAGAAATGCCAGATGCCATGGAAATGAAGGTCAAGAGGAACTGCACTCTGGGTAGGAGCAGAGGATCAAAAGCAATCAGGGATGATTGCACTGGCCACCACCCTGCCCTTTGCTCCTCATTTGAACTCATTAACAGTTCATTTGCTAACAACAGTGAGGGCCACACCAGAGGACAGGCACTTGGCTGCTTAGAAATCAAAACTAGTTGTGTGAGAAGCCTTGAGTAGAGGCCAGGAGCCTGGGAAAGAGAAGCAAGAAACAGCACCGGGACAGAAGTGAAGGGATCTTCTCACATAGCCCGAACAAGCAGCTTGTGCAGTTCTGTAAATAGCCCCAGGAAAAGATCCTTTTCTCAGCAACTGGTTGAAAAGGCTGGTGGCCCTGAAAGGATATGTTGTCACTTGTTGTTTGAGTGCTAAGGAGGTTTCCCAGAGGAACCACTCTTCATAACAGAGAAACCCCATCCGAGACACCTAACAATCACCAGAAGCAACCGCTGGAACCATGCAGATCATCTTCTGTGGTCCGGTTTTTGAGGGCAAGACTGGGGCAAAGACAAATCAGATTGGAATACGCGTCCCTTAGCGCTAACATACACCTAGTGTTGGGCAAAAACAGCTGAGCACCACGCTGTTTGCAGGCCTTCCAGCTCACAGCCAGGCATGCAGAAGAAGGGCATCTTAACTGATGATGCCAAGACTATTGTTTAGGTTCTGGAGAGGATGTTGTTGCAAACCTATCTCCCAGTCTCACCACTTACCACTTATTTTCGTTCTGAGTTGCAGAAATAAGCCTGAGACGTTACCAGCGAGTAGTCTAGCAATTCTGTGGGCATTACGCAGAACCCCACCCAGCCTGCAGTGTCTCAGACTTCGACAGCTCTGCAACAAAAATATGGCCTTCGTGCCTGTGTGGGCATGGGTGATACTTAGGCATCAGGGTAGGACCTTCTCCATCTGCAGCTAAAACCAAGCTTAGCATTTTATAGCAATGAGAAAACACAAAAGCTTGCAGCAAGGATGGAGATTTCTCATTATTGTGTTTAAGTCACTGCAAACTTTGCTGGGGCTCTGTTGCATCCTCCAGAGAGGAGCATTGGCTTACAGTACCCTGAACAGCAAACACCAAGCGAGGTAGCAGTAGCTTCTTTTCTCTGACTCTGTGTAACCGAGGGAGCATGAGAGCATCAGAGCCGCAGGGAACAGCAAGTGAAAAATCTGGGTGCAAACCCACCAGAAGCTGAGGGAGCAGAAGCAGAGCCTGTAAAAACAAGCTCCTCTAGAGCTGCAGCCAGTTGTCTCTCCCAGGCTTAAAGAGCCAAATCCCCAAGAAATGCAGTTTGGGCAGGGCCTTAGTAGCCTGGGTGGCTCAAAGCGTGGCCCGTGCAGGGGATCAGCAGCTCTGGTTGTGGTACCACTGGATGGAATGAAGCCTACTGGTATGAGATCTAACAGACGGGGGTGGTGTAAGACACACTGAAATTGCTCCTGCTGCTTTTTTGTGAACGTGGTGAGAATCTCTTTGCTGCCCTTCGATGTATTCTGCATGTCCTGTATGCAGAAACCCAGCTGTCTGGCTGGAATAATCACCATCCTCCCTTACATGTGAGCATCCCCCTCGGGGCGGGGGGCAGAGCTGCACAGACAATGGCCAGTGCAATCGCCCATTGCCTCAGCACTGCTACTCCCTGGCCAGCTGGGCTGACAGCAGGCTTTCCTGGCCAGGTCTCTTCCCATGCTGGCACAGAAGCCGGAGGCAGGAGGTTCACGAGCCTCTTAACATGCGATGGCAGGAGAAATCACGGTGCTACCTGTGCCTCTCCTGATGACAGCTTGCTGAGGCATGGCAGTGTTTGCTTATCATCCAGGTAGTGCGAACTAGGGAGAGAAAATGGGCACAGCACATTACAGACTTTTCCCAACCACTCTTGAGGGCTATGATGATGGGCCAAAACCCACCTGGAAATACACTGCTTCTCTGTGCCTGAAAGAATGGTATCTAGTTGAAGATGTGCCTACTTATTGCAGGGGTGTTGGACTAGATGACCTTTAAAGGTCCTTTCCAACCCAAACCATCCTATGATTCTACAAATTAGGTTAGTTTAGCGCAGTTAAAAGCCTACATCAGCAGCACTGCTTGTGGCACCCTATGCTGAAAAAATTGCAGCTGATGGTCCTTGGAGATGGCAGTAGTCCTGAGGCAGCATTAGCAACAGGACCTGCACTGGCAGGTGGGCTTCAGCCTTGTGCACAGAGAGGGGCTGGTAGGCGGACTGCAGGCTGGTGGGGTGTTAGATGCAGAGACCATCTGTATGGACCACAGATTTCCACTAGATCAGACCCGGCAGAACGAATCTACTCTTCGCTGACCTTTCAGGTTTCATCTACGTCAATGCATGAGGTAGTGCAGCAGCCATTTGTGGAGCTGTGACTGGTGGGGAAGAGGGAACAGCGTAGGCTGCAGCTCCGTGCCATACAGTAGGGTGCCTTGCAGCAAGGGTCCTGCAAGTTCCTGCTTCCCCTGTGCGCTCCACACAGCATCACCTCCCCCCTCCACGCTGCGATGCTCCTTCTCAGCTGTGCTGCTGGCCAAGCTGAAGGCTCCGCCAGCCCACCAAGATCCACACATGAGCTGACATGATATGGCAGTGCACCTCCACACACGCAAGGGGAGCATGTGGAGGTCTAGCCACGGGCAGCAGGGAGCTGAGGGGGTCAGCAGGGAAGAGACCTGTGATGCTGTGATGTCAGACTCATTAGCCAGGTCCAGCCCTGCAGCAAGGAGGGACCCATCTCCCCCCAAGGACCCCATCACCCCACAAACCACTGCTCCCCAACCCATGCACACGGGGCCCCCTTCTAAATGTGGAACTCCAGCTGCTGGCCCTGGATGAGACACCAGCACATGCGGGGCTGTTCCCTGGACTCCAGGCTCTCCCCTCCTGCTGCCTACGTCCTCACTGTGTCATGCCGGGCCTTAGGAGTGGCTCAGGTCCTATTTCAGAAACAAAGAGTTAAGCATTTTCAATCTTTATTTTACAAAAATAAACCAGTTTTGCCCTGGTACTCTGTGGCTCCCAACCTTCCCCTCTGCCCCTGCTCCCGTTCCTCGTCCCGGAGCTCTGGCTGTTGCACGCTGCAGCCAGATGCTCACAACAGAGGCTGCCAGTGCCACACGCTCCTGCGAGCGTCCCCAAGCAAGCACCGGCGAAAGGGGGTTGGTGCCCTTTTGCGAATGCCTCTTCTTCCAGGATCCAAGCTGGAAACTGCACGAAGATGCCTCCTGGTGGCTCTGCCGTTTCTGCGCAGGGAGCAAATCTTAGGCAAGTCACTCAGAGTACACACTTTGAGAAGGGATGTCTGTCCATCCGTCCCTCTCCCATGGATGGCAAAGCGAGCCCCACGGAATTGCTTCTTGCCATCAGCGGAACCGGGCAGGCTGCTGTGCCACTGGCTCAGTGCTGGAAGCGTGGGGAGCTGATGTGGGGCTGGTGGAAGGAGTGTGTGGCATAAAGCACTTCTGGAGGTGGCGGAGGGGATGTGAGGATGTTTTTTATGGGAGCTCAGCATCGAGGCAAAATGCTTCATCTCCTCTGTCAGCTGCTTGATCTCCCGGCGCAGGGCAGCGTTCTGCCTCTCCAGGTCTTCGCTCTCCTGAGAAGACAAAACCACAGGGGCTTCCTCAGCACTGGAACCGCAGGGATGAGCCGGGGACACGGGGGTGGAGGTCCTGCGCCTCTCTGCCCCGCCGAGTTTCCAGAATGACACGTTTCCGGTAAATTCGGCACCGAGCCGCGCCTGGGCAAACCCCACTCGCTGGGCTGGCCAGGCCAGGCGCGGGTGCGATGCTGGCGGCCCCAGCCACGCTCCCCGGCCCCGGCTTACGAGAAGTGACTGCGGCATGCTCCCGCCCAGGCTTTCTCGCTCCCTCTCACGCACAGGCACGTCGCCCGGACGCTTCCCGGGCCGCCCCGGCCGGGGGGAGGGCGCGCTGAATAACCGCCGTCTTTAACCAGAAAACCACCTGCCACAGGAAACCTGTCATTGCCCTGGAAAGAAAAGACTCACTGCTTCCTGCTAGCAGCCGGGGAAACCAGCGGCACGGTGGGGAGGAGGGGGAGACGCTTGAGTCAGAAGAAAAGAGAAACTGAGGCCTTAGAAGAACTGAATTAATACTGTTATTCACGAGAATAACAACAAAGGGGTTAATAACGATGCTCAGTCTTGTCTCAGTGATCCAATTCCGAGAGCATTGCAGCTTTTGCTACATCTACTGCTGCTGAAGTGCAGCCAGCTCCAGGCTGGAGCATCCCAGGCACCCACTGACCACGGAGCCGGCAGCCTGGGCAGGACCTGAGGAGGGAGGGAGGACACAGTGACAGGGTCTGTGAACTCAGCTGCGACAGCTAAAGCGGGACCCAGAGCTCTGAGGCCCTGAAGAACTGCAGTGCCACCTCTCAAAGCGAACCTGTCACCCCTCCACTGCCACACTGATTTCTGCCAGTGCCCGCTCTCTGCGCACAGGTTGAAACGCGCCCAGCAGTTACAGTGGCTGTCACAGGAGGAGCCTGCACAGCGAATGAGCATCTCCCAGACGTGACTAAATGCTTTAGAGATCAGGACTGACGTCGAACTCAGGAGCTGATGGGTATCACCCAGGGGCCGGGAGTCCCAGTCTCCCCGTGACTCATTCCCCTCAAAACACAAGCTATGAAGCCCTGGGACAGATGGATCTGCTGGCTCCTTTCCTACCACCACAGCTGAAGCTGAGCCACGCTCTTCTGGGCAGAACCACATCAGAGAAGCAAAGTCCCTGATGCAGAGCCGACTAAAGGCCAAGAGTACTCAGGGAATGAACCCAGGAGCAGCTGGGGGTCACTGTTTGCCAGAAACTGGGAAAACATTAGCAGAAATTCACTGTCCATCCAGTACTTGCTCCCCTGCATTTCTCCAGCTGCCTGCCAGGATCCTCTCTGTCTGAACTAAACTGGGCATAGCCCCCCTTCTCCCATCCCCATGGGAAAGCAAAGAGTGTGTGCTATCAATGCTAGCTGAGCAGTAGTAGTCTTGTAAGCAAGTCGTTTGTCATCTGCTCTAAGAAGATTCTTCTTGGTGCACAGCTGTGCAGGATTCTCCTGGGGGAGGATCAGAGCCCATATCCACCTCTAGGATTACCTTGGAGAGAGTACTGACTCCAAGGAAAGGGTGTCTCTTCACCCCTTTCAGGCACAGTCACCCAGAGCCATCACTGCTGACAGACATAATGCAATCAGCCTAAAGCCATGTCAGCCCAAGAAGGATCATCAGCTACTGAGAAAAGAATGAAATCTCTGTCTTAAACACAGCTCCAACCATGGACTGAGGGCACGATGTAAGGAGGAAGGTTCAGGAGCAGCTTCTCAAGAATTCTTCCCAAAAATGGGGATCTGGGGGAATATGAAGACCGCTAAGTCAAAGCATGTTTTTTTGAAACATGAGCCCGACTACCACTTTTCAAAGGGCTACGTGTTCTGCATCCTGCCCACCAGTGGCCCAAAACACGTGGGACTGCACTTACCAATGTGCAGAATACAAAGGAGCCCAGCCCCTGTGCTCCGACATCGACCACACACTCCTGCCCAAACACACACCGCCAGAAGCGACCATCCCTCCTGAAAAGCAGATGCCTAATTCTTCACACTGGGAAGAGCCGCAGGGGTGCCCATGGTGCCACAGGAGGAGGGTGGGACAACAGGGTGAAACCAAAGGAGGGAAAGTCCATACTAAACAACAGGAAAAGCCTCCAGACTGTACAGTGTTCAGATGTAGAAAGGGATACAAGCGCTACTATGGAGGCATTTAAAAATATTAGAAAATTATTAATATTTATCTACGCTGAGTAGCATCTCAGGGAACAGACCAGAGGAGATGTCCCACTGTCTCAGAAAAGTGTCCTTGTATGCTGTTGCACTGCTGTGTAAGTGGTAGCATGAAGCACAAACCTTGGGAGAGCAAGCATGGGTGAGCTTGCGCTTCCAAAGAACTTTTGACTTTTGAAGAGGTTAGGAAAGCAAATTGGTAATGTCAGACTGAGAGATAAAGATGGATTCAAAACTAGCTGCAAAACTAAATGCTTCGGTAGCAGTCGTCCTCGGCTGTGTGCTCTCGCTGCAAGTGCTGACTCCTACATCCTGCCCTGGCCTCACTTTTCCTGTCCTGCCTCAACTGAGCATCTCTGCTGCGAGTCCCCAGGGGAAAAGCACATTGTCCCCTATGTGAGCCCTCAGCGCCCAGGACAGGGAAGGGTGGGAGTGCTCACCAAGTGCAGCGTGTCTGCTTTCTGGGTCTGCCTCAGGCGACTCTTCTGGGCAGCAATGCGATTCTTCTCCCTCCTTTGGACTTTCCTCATGTCATCAGAAGAGTCCTAAGGAAACAAGGCATGGAAATGACTGGGCGCAGTACATGGGAAGGGGACACAGCAGATAACATCACTGAAGCACAGGACAGGGGATACACACCCTCAGCACCAGGATAAAGCCACACCCCAGGGATGTGTGATGCTTTTGGCATCCCTGTTGCCAGGAGGGGCAAGTTGGATACCCTTGGGCATCCCAGCACAGCTGGGAAATGGCCACTCTCCCTTCACCAAGACACAGGCCTGGGATATGGCTTGAGGGACCAGAGTACATAAGCAGAGACAATTTGAACTCCTTGTACAGAAAACCTTTCCCTTCCCCATCTCTTTGTGTGGATATGGCACTGCAGACATTCCAGCTCCTTGATTAAACCATCTTTCCAGAGATTCAGACTGTTTTCCTTTTTTCATCCCTGTAGGTCCCACTCTCTCGCCACCACCCTTCTCCCTCAGGCTTTATTTGTTGCAGACCCTTACACTGCAACATGGCCCCTGCTTTGTTTAACTAGACAGACTCAGAGCTTTTGGTTTTACTCCAGATCTCATTTGCTCCAGCTCTCTGATCTCTGTCCTTGCTCTTTTCTGGAGTCCCTCGGTAGCAATGCCTGCAATGCTGACTGCAACACTCCCGAGCCCCTTGGGCAGGGGAGAGCACAGGTCTCCAGGCTCCAGGTCACAACCTTCATGCAGCAGCCATTCTTTGCTGAGATCTGGTCCTGCTGCTGCCTTCTGACAGTTGAAACCGTCACACAGACTCTTTCATCTTCTATTTTCATATTGCACTGCCTCTTTTGTGGACTCTCTAGCATTCACACCACCACTTCTCCACAGGACTACAAAACTCAGCCACAGAAGTTATCTTCCCAGCCCATCAGTCTGTCCACATCCTCTCCCCCCTCCACCCCGCCCAAGATCTTTTCTTTGAACTTAACCGTTTTATCCTTGCCTTCAATACTCTACAAATTGCTCAGATACAGCAGTTCCCATATCCTGCACCAAGTCCGGTCCCTATCCTTTGGCAACCCCCATGCTTTATCCCCTTCTCTACCAGCATGCCTCCCCAACCCTGGTTGCAAGCCCCAAATCATCTGCCCTGATCATCCCCAAGATTTCTGAGCAAAGTCTCAAGTACTTGCCGTTGTTGCCAGCCCTAGAGAAATGGCAAATGACAGATAAAATAAAGCTTAGCCAGAAAAGGCAGTGGGAATATCTTGGACTTGTGTCAGTATCTGCCAGAAAAAGACCTACCATTACAGTACTCTGTCCAACAAAACATAATCCCGCTGTCAAGCATTACTGAGACAAAAAACCTCTGAGGCTGAGGAGAAAAGAAGGCAGACCTGAAGTGGCAGGGCGTTTCTGGGTACCAAGTGCTGTCCGCAGTGGCGGGAAGCAGGCGAGCTCCCCCTGGGCCGTCCTGGTCCATGGCCGGGAGCTGCGTGCTCGGGCTCCTCACCAGAGCACTGACTCTCGTCCCAGTTTCCCCTGTCATAGCCCCAGGTAGCTGGGCTTCCTCCCTCCACCCGTACCCAGCTCTGTGGCGAGAGCTCCTGCCAGGGCTGTCAGCTCAGCCCGGCATCCCTTTCCCTGCAGCCGTTCCTAGAAAGCCCCGCTGTGCTGTGCTGTGAAAACGCCAGCGGTGGGTGCCACCCTTCCTCCTGCCCACCCCAAAGGACTATCCAGCCAGGAGAGCTGGAGAAGGTTCCATGCTTTACCTGCTTGCTGGGAGGGGGAGACTGGCTGAAGCTGCTGGAGTCGCTGCTGGAGGAGCTGTGGGGCATGGCTCCCGTCTCTGGCTCCCAGGGCCTCTTCAGCTTCCTCGGTGCTCTTGGTGTGCCTGTCTTCTGCCTCGCTTCCCTTCCCTCTCCCCTGCCCTCCTCTGTTCCCCCTGAGATAGCCCGTGGCTTCTCAGCTCTCGCCTGTCCCGGAGGCACGCTGTCCTCCTGCCCCGCGCTCTGCCACTTTCTCTGCCTCTCCTCTCAGAGCCTCTGCACCTTCCCTTTAGGTCTCGGCCTCCTGTGGTTTCTCAGAACCTCGGGGATGTAAGCTGAAAGTCACGTGGCCGGAAACTTTAAGGCGAAGAAGAAAAGTTACAGAAGAAGAAAAAAAAAAAAAGCACATCTGGGAAAAATGAGCTTCAAAATAGCCTGAAAAACCCCCGAAAAACACCTTCAGGCAGTTGAAAAACAGTGAGATGGGTTTTCTCTGAGACAAACAGCAGAGATGGAAAGGAAGAAAAGCCCCAGCTCTGGCTACGAAACCTGGACCCTCAAAGGAGGGCAGTGCGGAGGAGGTGCTGCCGGGAGCCCCAGAAATTCCAGGGGCACCACGCGACGTGCCAGCCCTGTGCAAGCAGGAGGTCGGTCCAGCCCTGGGCAGCATCCACCACCCCAGCCCAGCTTGGGAAATTCCCAGGCAGCCACCCACCTCCCCACAACTCATCCGCCCCCTCCCACCACCCCCGACACCATTGACGTGGGTACGGGGGAGAGGACAGATACCCTCAGCAGGTGCCACATAAACACTGTGCGGATGGCTCGCATGTGTATGATGAAGAAGCAGTCCCACCTAAGAAGAAAGGCTCGGGATCATAGAACATTTGGACTGGGTTTGGCAGGACCGGTATTTTCCATAAAGCAAAGCTCTTCAGCTCTTTAAAATATTCATTAGTACCTCACCACCAGCCCATAAGGGGAATATCAACCCTAGCACACAAATTAAAGTGCTGTAAACATGATGGTCTATGGACCTAGAAGCTAAACCTGAGACCTAATTCTCACTCCACACCGTAACATGAACTTAGCTGCACCCCAGGGAATGTGAGACTGTCATGCAATGGTCCTGACTCCCTGCCAGCTCCCCTCTAGCCCCTTCTCACCACAGCTGGAAGGAGAATACTTGGGACAGGACTATGGGGAGACAGGAGCATTATGGCATATGGGAGGTTGTTTCCTTGCTATTCTCCCTCTGCCAGCACCCAAGTTGGGCATGGCCCATGCAGACAGCATAAAGAGACACTGCTTTGCATCCTCTTGTTTCTCTCCTGGTGTTTGCTGTGTGGGACTACTTCCATCCTTAGTACGAGCCTCGGTAGGCTGAAGACCTGCAAGCAGCCTCTGGGACAGCACTGCTTCAGGAGTACCCTCAGAGTACCCCACTCTGGTGGCTCTGGAAGTGACAGTGCAGGAGCAGTGAGTGCCAAAGCAGGAGCCATTTACTTTCTCATCTGCTCACGTTGCCAGAGCCAGTGAGGGCCACGTGCCAACAGTCTCTCCATTCACAGACAAGAGCACACACCTTTGGAGCAGCTAAGTTCTCGCATGTGCCATGAGGAGCAGATACAGCAACAGGGATGAACCCATCCACAGTAACTCACTCCTGCGGCAAGCAGCAATTCCCAGTTCCCCGTTACTGGGTTTTGTTGCATATTGGTGTTTTGGTTGAGTTCCTCCTGCCTCAGGCAAGAGCAGCGAGCAAGTCTCAGCAGTAGGGCGTCAGCAAGGGCACTTGAGATGCAGTTGTCATTAAGGCAACAGTATTGGCAGTTTTGGGTTTGCAGCCTTGTTGCAGCGCAGAAAGCACACGCACAGAGGAGCACGCTCTTGGAGCACAGAGCAGACTTGCGTGGGCATTGCTGGCATAGCTTCCCAGCCCTGCCGCTCATGGAGCCGACACAGGGGCAAACATGGCCAAAAGCAAGAACCACGTGGGGCTGGCTATGGGCTGGGTGGTTCATGGAAATTGCTTGGCCTAGCTCCAGTAGCAAAACTGCTCCATTTTGGCCCATTCCCCTCTTTAGAAACATCCTGTAGCACTGGTGCACTACCCTTGGCCCTATTATTGGAACATTTCAGAGACTTGAGTGATTTTTTTTTTTTTTTTTTTTTTTTTTCCCTCCCGGTGTGCTGTGGGGAAATGCCAGCATCCTCCACACTTTTGAATGTGGCTGCGAGGGTTTGCTTGCTTGGCATGAGCTGCCCTGAAGGACCTCCATCTCCTGGCAGTGCAGGTCCTCCGTGGCAGGCAGGTCTCCTCTGGTGTGGCCAGCTCCAGGAATGGAGCAGCCGAAGGCACTGGTGAGACGAGGGGCTTGCGAGGAGTTGAGTTCAGGCCCCCCCCAAGGCACCAGCTAACGGCACAAGCATTGAAGCATCCATTCGCTCACTGCACCGCTACACTTCCTCTGAACTCTGCAACCCCCGTGCAGCACTTCCTTTCCAGGAAGCACAGCTCTGGATTCCCACTCTCCCAAGGAAACCCACGCTCCTCCACCAGAGAGTGGGTTTCGGAGACCGCCTGGCCCACCCTGCTCTCCAGGCTGCTGTTTCTCAGGGCAGGACCGAGGGAGCTCCTTCCTCAGGGAAAAATATCCTTGTTCCATTATGGGGCAAATAAGCTGAATTCCCTCCTTTCATATCTAGCAATGAAGGGAGGGGACGGGAAAGGCGGTGGGTGTGTTGGCAGGAGGCGGTGCGGGGAAGCTGGCTGTCCCAGTAGGAGCTGGATAGTCAGTGCAAAACTGGCCAGAAGGTGGCTGTGTTCAAGGTTATTCTTTGATCCACAAGAGGAAAGTTTTGAGCTGTGCCCTGGTTTGCCCAGAGCTGGGCTTTTATTGCCAGCCAATGGAGAAGTCTCAGGAGAGAGTGACATCGCAGGAGAGGGTTCTGACACTTGGTCTTGCTGAGCAGGAATAAGAGAGCATCCCTCTTCCCTCCTTGCCCAAACAGACTCCTCCCTCTGAAGCTGGCTACGATGCTAATAAATTCCTCGCTTATGAGCAATGAATAATTGTGCTGTAAATGAGGCTGTCTCCTGGTGGGAAGGTGCGCAGAGCCTTCACAGCACTCCTCTGAGCTGGGCAGGACCCGTGTTAGCCCTCCTGCAGGCAGTGCCCCGTGCCATTCCTCTGGTGACACCTGCGATCCCCCGACCCAGAGCAGCAGAAACCACCAGCGAGGCTCCACCAGCGTCTGCTCATGGCTCTCTGGGTGCTGCCCTGGGCACCTGCTGCAGGCACAATATGGGGAGCTGGTATCCTGCTGTCCCTCCCCAGGCTCTCCCTCTCCCCCACTATCAGGGGGAGCCTTAGGAGCCAGCCTCCTCATCTCCGTGCTTGATTTAGGTGACTACGTTTACACTGTGACTAGTGTCCCCTGACCTTCTGGTATCATTTAGGTGTCTTGATCTTAACCGCAGTAGCTGTGAAATCGCTGTCAATGGCGCCGGATGAACTCAGAAGTGCTAGGGTACTGCCATACAGACAGCTTGACAGAGCAGGGATCCTTCCCGAGGTTTTTAGGGGAAGGACTGGGCCATCCAGTTCTACATTTGTCCCTTCTGAATAACAGCGGGCACTGCTGAAGGGAGTCCTGTTCTCTCTGGAGGACAGAGTGGCTGCGGGGACTCTGGAGGCTGGGCTTAGTGTGACCTCGGCTGCCAGAGAAATCGTTTGAAAGCAGCAAGATGCAGTTCAGCAAGAACAAATGCAAATGTAAAGCAAAGTGAGATGTAGGTAGAAGAGCTGGGGAATAACCGACTGGGCAGCAGAATGGGAGGGAAAAATCTGGGGGTTGCAGAGCATCATCAACTGAAGCTTCGCCAGCAGCGCGGAGGTGTCACAGAGGGGCCGGGGGTACAGGGTGCAAGGCAGAGGAGACGACTGCCCTGTGCTGCCTGTGCGGGGCCAGGACCCGCTCAGAGTCCCAGGTGCAGAAGTGGAAAACTCCAGAAAAAACCAATACGAAGGGTAAATACATAGAAATCGTGCGCTAAGAGAAAAGAGTGAAGAAGTTGGGTCCATTTAGCCTGGAAAAGAGAAGTCCTGGGGGCGGGAGGTGGGTGGGGAGGAAGGAGCAGTCTTTGGTATGTTGTAATGGAAAGGGTGGTCAGCTCATTTCTGTGCAGTCAGCACAGGGTAAGAAGCACTGGGCTCCAACTGCAGCAGGAAAGGTTCATCTCTGAGGTTCGAAGCAAGATGAGGTTAGGGAAGACCTTGGGATGGGCAGTTCAGCAAAGTTATTGAAGCCCCTTCATATGAAGTGGCTGGGAACAAACATCTGTCAGAAAGGGTCCAGGTTGAATCCTGCCTCTGTAGGATGGGTTAGAGCTATGTCCCCAGGGTTTAAATAAGGACAAAATTTTTAAAAAGCTACTAAGATGGGCTCCTCGGAGCCCAGGAGCACATGGGGCATTTCTCAGCCTTCACCGCAGCCGGTCCCTTTGCCTCCAAAGCCCAGAAGGGTCCCTACGTCCCACGTGGGCAAGCAGCTTCCTCAGCACAGGTGGTTGATAGAGTTTCCCTGTAAACCTGCTGCTCCAGACCTCTCCGCTGCTGCAGGCTTATGGCAACAACATTCAAAACTGCATCTCACCCCATCCATCTCACCCATCTTGTTTGCATGACCATTCAGTGCATAGTGCTATTTAAAAATCCAGCCTAGAGCAGCTACCAACTTCAGCCTCCTGTAAACCACCAAGATTGTTTCTGCTTCACATGTAGCATTTTATGCAAATAATTTCTTACAATACTTGGACAATTGCAACAATTTGCTTATCATTCCCCACATAAGTTTGAAGGCTTTTCTGTGGACTTCAATGCTGATAAGAGATGTTAAATGAATGTTGAACAAAGTCCTTGTTCTCTACCAGACAAGCTTCTGCCATGTCCCTCTCTGTCAGCATGTGTTGGTCCTGTCTGCGATGTGGGCAGCTTCCCCAGCTGGTGGGGTGGATGGTCTCCATCACCAGGGCTATTTCATCTCAGCTGAGCTGGGTGAGTGTG